TTATTCAAATCAAGTTCTTTTATAAAATTTGAGTTTGAACTTGAATTTTAACTTGAACTTGGAGCTAAAATCTGAGTTCAAGTTCTCCCTTCAACTTAAGTTCATAAACTCAAATTAAAGTTAATAAATAATATTTTTTATATTCTTAAAGACGCCATAACTTTTTCGTTTTAATTCTGATTTAGATATTTTTTTATGCGTTCACAATGAAGAGACGAATAAAACCCCACCCATATACCCTATTAAAATTTTCCATCACCATTGAGTTTTTATTAAAATACTATCTAAATATAAATTCAAGTTTTGACCCACCCAAACACAAACTCAAATAGATTCTCAATTCAAAATATAACTCAAAATGTGCACATCCAAATACAAACTCAAATTAGAGTCTCAACTCAAATCATATTCAAATTAAACTCAAATCACACCAACTCAAAAAATGTAAATTAACAACTCCTAAGTTTTCTTTCGTTTGCAGAACTATTACAAAATTTAATTGACACGTATTGTACCATATTACTTCTAGGGGTGGGCGAGACATAATATAATCTTACTAGTTATTTTGAAATATAGCTAGTATTTTATAAATAACAAAAATTAAAATTCTTATAATATTTACTATGTAATTTTATAGCATTAAAATAACTATTATGTGACTAAAGTTTTCACTAATTATGTAATGGGGAATGGAGGTAAATACATTTTTAGATGCATGAATCTAGATTTTACTATTTATTATTTATTAATACTCTTTTGACTCGTGCACTCTTAAAATAAGTTTAGTAATATTCTCTCTGTGTGTAATTTTCACCAAGAAGTTTTTACGTGTTTAGAATATGTTATTAATTAAATAATATTATATATCTATCTATTTTATAGTTATTGAGATAATTCATTCTAAATACACCTTTTTTTTATGTGGGTGGTTATAAATTTATATAACTAACTTTAAAATAATTAATAAATGATAGAAATGTCATTACATATTATTTTATAGACTTATGTGTAAATAATACAACTTATGAGACATTCTTTTTTTCATCTATTACATAATAGACATATACCTAATTAAGGAATGAGTATTCTTTTTTGAAAAAATTACAGATACTACCTCTTTAAATACTTAATTTACTAAAAGTACTTATTTTTTAAAGAACTCTATCACTTAATAAATTTTAGTCTAAAATATAAAAATATATGAATTAATATTTAGAGATAGAAATAAAAGGCTCCATTTCAAGATTATTTTTAAAATTTTCCTTCTTTTTTCATCTTATGACTTTCTTTTTTTCTAGCACAATTGGCCTAATATTTTTAGGTTCACGACGTGTCAGATAAGCCCTTTTATATGGGCCTATAATGACGTGGAGAACTCAGACAGGAAGTGACCGGGCCAACAGTACTACAGTATCGATCTCACCGGACAGAAACCCCAACAACAACGCACTTTCTCTGAATTTCTGACCCTCCTCTCTACAAAGTTATGGCAAGTGTGGTGGCCGTGAGAGTATATCCAAAATCCAGAGAGAGAGAGATGTTCCTCCGAGCGATCGAACGAATGTTATTGGCTAAGGTGAAGCATTTGACGGGGATCGTGGGGCGCGAGAAGGGTCCTAATCGATCTTTACAACAAAGCCCTAAAGGAGGTCCAGGCCATCCCTGAGGACGAGATCTATCGCAAAGTGGTGGAGGATGTCACTCGCCGCCGTCTCAAGGTTTGCCAGGAAGAAGAGAATTGGGAGGTCGTCGAGAAGCGCATCGCCTGTGGCCAGGTCGAGGAGCTCATCGAGGAGGCTCGCGACAAGTTTCTCCTCACCAGCAAATTCATCTGTCCGTAAAAACCCTCTTTCTTTTTTTTTTTCAAATTTTTGAAATGTTATATCATTTTGTTTGATCTCTTGGTCCGTTAACCGATTTAAGTTTTATTAGAGTAAAAAAAACTCTTAAAATTAATCACATTTAATTTTTTTATTACAATAAAAAATTCTCATATAAAATTACACCTCAACTCGAATCAGTGAACTAAACATACTATTTTTATTACAATAAAAAATTCTCATATAAAATTACACCTCAACTCGAATTAGTGAACTAAACAGACTCTTTGTTCAATTATTGTTCAAAAATTTGATTCAAGATGTGGCTGAATGTTGATCATGAAAGTCTCTATTTTTTTTTGGTTTGACTACGTTAATGCTACATTTCTTTCATTTGAAGTTTGACGGTGTGTTTAGAATTGTTTTAAAAAATTTTAAAAGCATTTTACACAATAAATAATGTAATTATAGTATTTTGTAAAAGTATACATAAATATTTTACACATAAAATTAATACACTTTTTAAGTTATTTTAAGGAGTTTAAATGTGTAATTTTTAAAATTTACTTTTATTTTTACTTTAAGTAAAAATAGTGTTTTTACTAAAAACACATGTTAAAAGCACAATAATCTTCAACTGGCCCATAATCTAAGAATTGAAAGGGAGAAGTTTTTGGTTCTTTTCTTCTTTCTAGTGGTGAGCCAAACACATTAGCAATTTCAAGTGTGATGAAAGAAAATGTGGGCTTGTTTCTTTGAAGATTTCTCAAATATGGGAAATGAGGATGCTTGATTATTAGCTAGTGTAACATGTTCATATAGTTGTTTTAATTTATTGAGTTTTATTTCTACATCTTTGTTCTTTTTGGAGTAAGAAGCCGAAATCGAAATAAGAAAAGGAAGCTTTTTTCAAATTTTTTGAAGAAGTATGAAGAATTAGGAATTGTGGGGAAAAAAATGGAGAAATATGTGATTTCCATGCCTTTTAACACTTTGCCTGATTCATTGAAATGGAAATTTTAAGACTTGTTTAGTTCGCTAATTTGAGTTTTTAATTTGAATTGAGATGTGACTTTATGTGAGAATTTTTTACTGTAACAAAAAAGTTAGATGTGACTGTTTTTAAGAATTTTTTATTGTAATAAAATTTAAATTTTAAACTCAAATCAGTGAAATAAACAGAACTTTATTAGTCAACCTATTTTGTTTTCTTTACATAATCACGGTTACGAGACAAATCTCAAAATAATATTTAATGGTAAATTTGTGCCAAAAGTTCTACGGAGTGCTAGTTATCTCAAGTCCATGTATCTTAATAGTTGTTCTGATTGTTCTGAAGACAGATAGAGCGTCATTGCATTAAAATTCGCTTACATTTATTTGGTGAAGTTCACAATTCTTCTGTAAATTAGTTCAGTACAGTAAAGTTTCCATTTCTTTGTTCAATCAATACGCAAAATTATATGGACTGTGTTTGTAACTTTTTTTTGCTTTGCAGCGTCGCGACCATGGGACTTCAACAAGAGTGACGTTGATGTGTTTCCTTTTTGTAGTGACATCAAGAGTGACGATGACGTGTGGCACGTGTGGCCTTTTTATAATGGTATTAAAATTCTATTTATTTAATCGATTTGAGTTTAAAATTTAAATTTTATTATCGTAAAAATTTTTAAAAAATAATCACATTTAGAGTCCGTTTAGTTCGTTAACTCGAGTTTTTAATTCGAATTGATATGTGATTTTATGTGAGAGCTTTTTACTGTAAAAAAAGGTTAGATGTGACTATTTCTAAGAATTTTTTACTGTAATAAAATTTGAATTCTAAACTTAAATCAGTGAAATGAACGAGATTTTAATTTTTTTATTACAGTAAAAAACTCTCATATAAAATCACATCTTAACTTAAATTATAAATTTAAATCAGTAAACTAAACAGACTATCAGGGTTACGATTGATGTTTCTATACCACCTCAGCTTCCTGATTTCGTCACCAGAACGCTAGAGGCAATTCAAGACTCCTCAAAAAGGCATCCACCACCGCCACTCACCTCCAAGGAGTCACTGTAGAAGTAAAGTTACGCCAGAGCGCATCTTAAATTTAGGAGATGTTTAGTTTATAGATTAGAATCATGTGATTAGAATTATTTTTGAGTTATGTGTATTTTTTATAAGAGAAAATACTATAACAAATCATGAATTATAATTCAAATTATAATTTGAATCCTCCAACCAAACATCCCCTTATACTTGACTGGCGCCCTTACAACAACTTTTGCTTTTGGACTGATTTCAGCCCTTGCATTTTTATCCAAAACTGTAATGATATGCCGATTTTGGTTGCTTTAGCATCTTTTCCAACTGCGGTAAGAGGGCAGGTCAAAGTGTTCTTTTTTATCTAGACTTTATATTATTGGATGTTAAGCGTTTTTTTTTTTTTTGGTTGAATAATGTAAAGAGTAAATTGGTAGATTATCACTAGTGATCTATTAAATTATTTCCCAAAATCATCACAAATCACCGGTCGTCTCCAACGTCGGAAATCTAGTAGATTACTACCCTGATCCACTATGTTATCTTGTGGAGTCGATAATTGATTGTATCCAGTGGATGGGTCCTAATTTTATTTCTTACTCTTGATTAATATATTTTTATTAATTAACAATAAAGTGTAAAGATTTAAACTCATGCACTTTAAAAAAGTATAACTCTTCTTTCCTCTAAAAAACAAAATACAATTTTATGATTTTATCTCATGAAATAAAAGACGACACAGAAGATTTGTTGATTTGCATATATTGTAACATGTTAATTCTAGGAGTGAGTGACTGTGAGACATAAAACATAAGCATACACGTTATGTTGAAACATAACAAAAGAATTTAGAATATCATTTATAAATACTACATATAAATAACAAAAGTTAAAAGTCATTATAATAATTACTATTTAATTTTGTAGCATTAAGATCATTAGAATAACTATACAATTCTGTTATTCTTAAAATATTTTAGAATTTGTTATTCTACTACAATGGGCCTTCATCCCTTTTAGGAACGGGCCTAACATTCTTGGATTCATGACGTGGCAGCAAGCCCTTTTATATGTGGGCCTACAGTGACGTGGCATAGTTGGAGTTGAAGTGACCGGACTAATAGTACCGATCTCACCGGACAGAAACCCCAAATCCCAACACGCTTTTCTCCGAATTTCTGAGTAAACCTCTCTGTTTACAAAGTTTCGGCGAGTGCGGTGGCCGTGAGAGTAAATCCAAGATCCACAGAGAGAGAGAGAGAGAGATGTTCCTCCGAGCGATCGGACGGCCGTTATTGGCCAAGGTGAAGCAGTCGACGGGGATCGTGGGGCTGGCGGTGGTCCCAAACGCGAGGGAGATCCTGATCGACCTCTACAACAAAACCCTAAAGGAGGTCCAGGCCATCCCTGAGGACGAGGGCTACCGGAAGGCGGTGGAGCATTTCACGCACCACCGTCTCAAGATTTGTCAGGAAGAAAACGACTGGGAAGTCATCGAGAAGCGCCTCGCCTGCGGCCAGGTCGAGGAGCTCATCGAGGAGGCCAGCGACGAGCTCCTCCTCATCAGCAAAATGATCGGTTCGTATTTACCTTTTTTTTTTTTTCGAATTGTAGGAATGTGATTTCTTTGCTGTCGGAAAGATGGATTCAAAATGTGATTGATCATGAAAATCTCGATATTTGTGTTTTGTCTGCGTTAATGCTACATTTCAAATATTTTTACTCTTTTTTTTTTTTTGGAACTTTAGGAATGTGATATTTTTTGTCAATCATGTTGTTCGTTTGATCTTTGTTTGGTTGCTGTTCGAAAAATTTGTTGAATATGTGACTGATCATGGAAGTCTCAATATTTGTGTTTTGACTTCGTTAATGATACATGTCCATCGTTTGAAGTTTGATAGAAGCCAGGAATTGAAAGGGAAACGGTTTGGATTCTTTTATTCTTTCTAGTGGTAAGCCAAACACTTGAATAATTCAAATGCAAATGAAAATTGGGGTTGTTTGTTCGATGATGCTCGATAATTAGTCAAAATCACTTCAAATAGGTTTTTTAATTTATTGACTTCTACATCTTCGTTTGGTTTTTCGTGAAAGAGGAAACAGAAATGGAAAAGGAAACTTTTTCTCGGATTCTCTGAAGAAGTATGAAGGATTTTAACGATGGAAAAAGGAGGAATATGATTTCCAAGCCTTGTGAAGTTTTGCTTATTGTAAAGGCTTGAGAATTTACATATTGGAGAACTGGATTGCTTGATCCACTGAAATGGAAATTCTGTTAATGTGTTTTGTTTTCTTCACATAATGACAATTACTTTGTGACAATTAGTCTGAAGAAATTTAGAGCGATGTTGCATTAAAATGCATTTATATTTGGTGAAGTTCACAATTGTTCTTTAAATTTCGAATCTTTCTTCAATCAATACGCACAAAGATGTGGACTGTGTTTGTAACTTTTTTGCTTTGCAGAGTGGCAACCATGGGATATTCCAAGTGACTACGAGTGTGAGGTGATTGAGAACGATGCTCCAGTTCCCGGGCACATTCCTCGTCATATACCGCCTCCAATTCCTGAATCCTTTTACAAGACGCTAGAGAGACTTCAAGAGTCCTCAAAAAGGGATCCACCACCGTCAGGCACCTCTAAGGAGTCACCATCGAAGTAAAGTTATGCCAGCATGTGTTCGAGGACTTCGTCAATGTCCTGTCTTTGTTCCCTTTTCCTCAGATGTTTGCTATATTAAACAGAGTTTAAATTGTGGCGTTAGAGGTTTGCGTTTTTAATAAAATCTTAAGAATATACTTGACTGGCGGCCTTACAACAACTTTTGCCTTTTGAATTGATCTCTGCCCTTGCATTTGCATTCAAAACTGTAATGCTATGCGTGATTTGTCTATCTTTAGCATCTTTTCCGTTGCGGTAAGCAGGCAGGACAAAGGGTTCTTTTGGATCTTGATTTCATATTTTGGATGTAAAGAGTAATTATTACTTTATAAACGAGGTTTAATGAAATGCGTAGAGTTGTTGGTTGTTCAAATAGCTTGATGCAAAACAGGTAATGTTCATTATCTTCTTAATTAATGGGGAGCCAGGGATATATATATATATATATATATATATATATATTATCATACATAGTTGAACAAGGACTAGTCATAATTAACAGAAAAAAGAACCGGAGATGGTGGTGTTTTTATAGCCGTATTACTTGCAATTAGACTTTACAAAGTTACAACAGCTGTTGTTTTTGTTTTTTTGGCTAATCACAGCAGCTTTTGTTTGATTGTTTTGTTTTTGTTTTTGTTTTGTTTTTTGTTTTTTGTTTTGGTAGAAATACTAATTCACATTTGTATCGTAATTCCTGACGTCCATTTTCTGATACTTAGCATCCTCGTTGTGCCCATATCTTACACCATACTAAAGGCTTTACCAAAATCTCGTACTCCGGAATTTAGTGGCCAACTTCAATGAAGAAGCAACATAAGAAATGAATATAACAAGCAAGCTAGTTCAGGCAAAGAATACAGCAACGGTGAAACATCGAATCCTAGAATGCTCACGTTGGCCGATATCAAGAGAGAGAGAATGACTGTGAAATTTATCAGCAGCCTCTGCACGAGCATTCCCCCTTCTTGAAGGCATGGATTCGGTTCCTCTCTCTAACAATTACCACTTGGTCAATATATCGGGTCACCTGCATTATGAAGTCATGACACTCGCCGCAAATAAGCATGTTCTTGCTTATCCGTACAGCGGCCTTTGAGGGTGTATTAAGAAGACCAAATGCAAAAGCTAACTTCTCACTGTGATAGAAAGAACCTTTCGTATCTCCATACGACGAATATCCTCGTTTTCTTAACTCGGTTGCGAGTGATACTATTTTGTCATGGATCTCGTTTATCTGTGGATGTGACCTATCTCCTGCATTGAAGATATGAACTTTGTTCCTAACCTCTATCCAGCTCTGGCCAAGATTCTTTCTTACTCCTCTGTCTTTCATCAGCTCGCGGGTCTTCCTGCCTAAGTCGGACCGGCCAGAATCGTCAAACAAGTTGGCAAGTAGCGAATAGAAAGTCGGATCGGATGGGTCAAGTTCAAGACCTCGTCTTGCCATATCTTCCCCAAGAGGTATGTTTCTGTGGAGTTTGCAAGCACCCAATAATGTCTTATATACTAAAGTATCTGGCTTAAAGGGCATGCTGTCAATCACTTCCATGGCATCTTCAAACAAGCCAGCTCGGCCAAGTAGATCTACTAAACAAATATAGTGATCGATTTCCGGGGTCATATTATGCATGCTTTTCATTGAATGGAAATACTCGATACCCAAATTAACCAAATTACCACGGCTGCAAGCAAAAAGCACTGATAGGAAAGAAACAGAATCGGGTTTGAGTCCTGCTAACCTCATGTCATCGAAGGCAGAAAGAGCACCGGAGATATAACCATTTGATGCCAATCCAGATATTAGCCCATTCCATGATACAACGTCAGGGTCAGATATTTCCGCAAAAGCCTTGTAAGCATCATTTCCATAACCACACTTCCAGTACAAGTCAACTAAGGCATTAGAAACTGAAGTGCAGCCCCCAAAACCGGATTTAATCGCATAACAATGAAGTTGCTTACCAGCTTCCATTGTTGCTAAGGCAGCTGACACAGATAAAAAACTTGCCAGGCTAAATCTGTCCATCTTAACGCCGTCTCTATACATGCGATTGATGACATCCAGTGCCATTTCATGACGGCCCAACTTATTCATTCGTGTGGCTAAACTTGTGTAGGTGATGGTATCTCTATGCCTCATCGTGCTTATAACACGCCATGAATCATCCAGCAATCCTAGTGCAGCATAAGCATCTACAAGAGCATTCCCAACAACTATATCAGAATATGCTTTAGCTTTTATTATATATCCGTGGAGCTTCAACGTTTGACTATGTGATTTATTTGTACTGCAAGCTCTAAGGACGGAAGATAGGGTAAACGAATTTGGTTGCACCCCTGCTGCTTGCATATGCAGAAAAGACCGGAAAGAATCTTGTTCAAAACCATGCTGAGCAAAACCAGCAATCAAAGAAGTCCACGAGATGACATTCTGCGAGGTTATCCCCCAAAAGGCTCTCAAACCATCCTCTACAAGGTGGGAACATTTCATATACATATCAACAAGTGCATTTCCAACACAAACATCAGCCTCCAGACCAGTCATAATAACTCGCGAATGGATCTGCTTTCCCAATTCCAGTGCAGAAACTGCTGAGCAAGCCGTCAGTATGTTAGAATACGTGAAACTATTTGGCACAAACCCAAAGATCTCCATCTTGCGCATTGCAGCTACAGCCTCCTTGACTTTAATGTTTCGGGTGAAACCAGAAACAACAGTGGTCCATAACGTTACATCATACTCGCTCGTCTGATGCAAGACCTTAACAGCATCTTCCATCCTTTTGCAACTTGAATACATCTCCACAAGAGCTGTCTTCAGGACCAAACTAAACCTAATTCCAAGCATTATCAAATGGGCATGTAGTAGTCTCCCATAATTCAAATCAAGATGATAGGATGCCGCCAAAAGCTTCACGAAAGTGAACTCGTTTGGAGTAACACGAGAACAGATCATATCATTATAATGCTCTAAAGCCAGACTCCATTTTTGAGCCTGGACTAATGAAGATATCATAGTTGTCCAAGATATAGTATCACCACTGTCCATATATCTGAACATGCCATGAGCCTCCTCGCTGCAGCCACACTTTGCATAAAAATCAATCAAAGAGCTAAGCAAAAATGTGTTACACTTGAGCCCGAGTTTTATCACATAGGCGTGCACGCGAGTTCCCTCGTCGAATTCGCCCATAGCAGAACACGATCGCAAGACACTCGAGAACGTAAACTCATTCGGGCTCTCCCCAGAAGTTACCATTGAATTGAACAATTCAAGGGCTTCACCATGCTTCCCATCCCTGGTATAAGCAGACAGCAATCCAGTCCACGACACAACATCTCTATGAGGCATTTCACCGAACAAGTGGCGCGCATATTCAGCTCCATAGCATTTAGCATATAATGTCAAAAGATTGTTACTTAAAAACAAGTTACAGTTAAGACCCAGTTTGATAATTGGGCTGTGTACACAGAGACCTTCTTCCAAGGACTTTGAGTTGCATGAGGAAAGAACTCGCAAGCATATGTCTTCAAAACGGTGTGCTTCATTTCTGATAAAGAACTTGGTAGAAACATTTGCTAGTGACATAACAACTGAAACTTATTTTTTTAATGTTCAAATGACGTCAAATTATGCTTTGGTTAGGTGTGGAGAGATTTCAATATGTCATGTTGAAGTAATGCCTGCACCAAAAATTACTATCGTTACATTCCAAAATTTTTCTCATTATTATACTAATTACTAATACTAGGCACAAAACAGGACCAATTGATAATGGTTTGCGTATCCTGGGTAGGCCCTGTTCATTTCACCAATTCGAGTTTTGTTACAGTAAAAAACTCTCAAAAACAGTCACATTTAACTTTTTTACTACAGTAAAAAGCTCACACAAAATCTCATATTAACTCAAATTACAAACTCTCAAATCAGTGAAGTGAACAGACTAAGGTCTCTGCTTATTTCACCGATTCGAATTTTCAATTTTAAATTTTTATAATTAAAAATTTTAAAAAAATATCACATTTAATTTTTTCTGTTATAGTTAAAAATTTTCAGAAAATATCATATCTTAACTCAAATTAAAGACTCAAGTCTCTCAAAAAAATATCACATATTAATTTAAATTAAAAATTTAAATTTATAAAGCTAATGAGACCTTAAACTTTTTTAGTGACTTCGGTGTACTTGCACTGCAACCTCGCAGCAAGAGGAAGGAAAAAGAACTATAATGAAAAAACATCGGGCGTGGTCAAAATAATTGATTTCTTTGTAGAATAATCACGGATGTTTCCTTTTTCATATTGTCGTAATTATTTGGCAGTGAGTCATTTTTTTTTTTTTGGCCAATATCAGAAAAAAAATTCATAAATTTTTAATTTCCCCGAAGTAAAAATATGATACCAAAGTTTATTTTATTGACACATTAGTAATTACAAATCATTATTATAATTACTACAAAAATATTAGAGTATGCAATATAATAACAGTTGATAATTATTTAGCTATCTGTGACAAAAAAGAAAATTAAAATCAGCACTACGTTTCAACTATATTATAGTACTATGAAGAAAATTCAACCTTTGCTAAATGTTGGAGTTTCTCTTGTGCAATCACAGTTGAAAAGGAATATATATAATATATATATATATATATATATATATATATTATTACAGATCTGTATAGTGTTCTAAGAATCTCCTTGAATTATTAACAATCAGATTCTTGAAAAAGAGAATGTTGCATCTGTTTTATGTTTAAGCAAATTATGGCCTCGTTGATTTCACCGATTTGAGTTTTCAGTTTTAAGTTTTTATAGTAAAAAATTCTCAAAAAATGTCACATCTAAATTCGAATTAAAAACTCGAATCTACGAAGTGAACGATGCCTATAAATTATAAGTCTTGTAACAAAATACCTCCGAATTATACCACACTTTATTTCTATTTAATCTATTTATTGGAAATAAATAAAAAAATATGCTTATAATAATTCTTTATATTGATATTACTTATTTTTCTTAGTTTTAACTTTTTGTTTTTTGATTAAATTTTAATTTCTTACCTTTTTAAAAGGTGTTTTTTTTAATTGAGGAAATTTCCTATTAAACTTTAAGTTTCTCTTTTTAGTGGTCAAGAAAAAGATAAACTGAAATTAATACAAATTATCTTAAATAATTCTTTAAATTGATATACTTATTTTTTAGTTTGATTATCTTTTTAAAAAGAAAAATTTCAATTTTTTTTTCTACTTTTTTAAAGTTTCGTTTCTCTTATTGAGGAAATTGTCTATTGCTATCAAAATTTTGATCAGATTAGATTTAGGAAATACTTTTTGAGTACCAAGTTATGAATAAATAAACAATTCTCTCTTATGTGGACAAGGGATTGTTATCGCTATTGCCAGCTCAAAGTCAATTTTCCTTCTTTTTCAGTCGTAATAAGTTTTACAACTCCGAGTCTTTTCCTTCCCAGCTTTCTCTCTTCCAGACCCTTCGATTTTCTCTGCTTCTCGTTCTCTTTCTACATCTCCGGCGGATATGGCGTCCGATCTCGAGAAGAAGGCCAGAGAGGCTTTCATCGACGATCACTTCGAGCTCGCTGGCAGCCTCTACACGGAGGCGATCAATATCAGCCCTAAAAACCCCGACCTTTACGTCGACCGTGCCCAGGCCAACATCAAATCCAACAATTTCACCGGTGAATTTGTTTTTTCTTAGCTTGTGTGTGAAACTGTGAACTTTCATGGTGTCGAATTTAGATTAGCAATTTTTCTTTTTTTCTTTTTTGTTAATTTTGTTTTCTAATGAGTGAAATACTTGCTAAGTCTACTGTACAAGGCTATATCTTAGAGCTCCCTAGTAGTAGAATTTGATTTTGTAGATTAGTAATCGGTAAAGCTGTATCTCTAGTATGTCACCAGTGATATTTCATTTATGTTGCTGAAGAATAATTCATTTATTTTTCCTCAGTGAAAATTGGTGTGCATTTTGTGTAGATTTGATGCTTCTTTCTTATATTCTTTCTTTATTTTCATATTCGCGCGTTTTGCCTTTCGTGTTAATATTGAGTTCAGTGAGATTAAGTATACATGATTTAGGAATGTTGTTTAGTGCGTTGATGTTGTGTGTGTGTGTGTGTGTGTGTGTTTTTTTTTTTTCTGTTATCTTTTGAATTCAAAATATTGTTGCTTGTTGCTGTTGTGAAATTCTCTGTGCAGAGGCTGGTGCAGATGCAAACAAGGCGATTGAGTTGGACCCATCAAATTCGAAAGCATACTTGAGAAAAGGGTAACATATGTTGCAACCAAAGCGTAATATTTTGAGTGTGCACTTGCTTGTCAACTTTTGTTACTTGTTTCACCAATTTCTGGTTATCTATAATCTACATATGTTGGTTTCATATGTTTTCTATGTAAGGGGTTTGAATCTCCGCAATCCTTCTATTATTTTTTATTTTTTATTTTTCAAATTTGAAGGAATGCGTGACAGTCCCTCCTATTTCGTAAATGATGTGGCTAACATCCTTAAGGTTTATAAATTGAGTCTTAAAAGATGATTCTTAACTTTTCTATGCTTGGATCTCAATCAATGTGGAAATATTCTTTTAAGTTTATGGGTTGTAGCTTCTTTCGTACAATACATGTCCAGATTAAACACGGTCCCCCTGCCCCCTTCTCTTCTGCATGAGTCCACTATTTACTTCCACGATTCATGTACTTTGATTGTGTGTCATTTTCCATTATGTTGATTTTTGTGTTTCGTATTATGGTCTTGATAATGTTTGCGAATTCTTGTGACTTTTGGTTACAGCACTGCCTGCATGAAACTTGAAGAATATCAGACTGCTAAAGCTGCCTTGGAATTAGGAGCAGCTTTGGAACCAGGAGACACTAGATTTGCAAATTTGATTAAAGAATGTGATGAGCGCATCAAAGGTGGGTAATTTCTTGTTACAAGCTTTCACCTTTTAGTAATCTGTGGAGCTGGTGAAGTTTCTCCATAATTTGATGTTTGAGATTTCTCATGATTGTGATGGAAGCTCATCTTTGGAAGGGAGGAAATAGCAGGGTAAAACATGGTATTAAAAATATTTTAATGGCCATTCTATGTTATTTAATAATATCGCATTTCTATGCAGAGGAATCTGGTGATCTACAAAAGCAGTCATTGGAAACATCCAGTACAACAAATGTGTCCACAGAAGATGTTCAGCCTGTTGAGACTGTGAATGATCTTCCCAAACAGGTGACAGCAACATCTTCCAGACCAAAATACAGGTAAGTGTGTGACTTTGCGTGCTTCCTTGATTGATTTGAATGAGTAGTCAACTTGGATGCTGATGTCAATTTGTTTTATAAAGTTTTTCCAGCAGTAGAGTTGTGCCTGCACCTTTTATTATTATTATTATTATTTTATTATTTTTATTTTTTCATTTTACACGAGAGTATATGAGATATTTGTAGTTTTGAAAAGAGTCCTTGAAATTGAGAACACTTTTCTTTCTGTGAACAAATAGGCATGAATTCTACCAGAAGCCAGAAGAAGTGGTAGTGACTATATTTGCTAAGGGCATACCGGCCGACAGTGTTGCAGTCGAGTTTGGTGAACAAATAGTATGATATGCATCCCTGAATGAATGTGTTGTCTGTATTCATGCGTGTTGTTTTCCTTGTAGTTTAGATATTTGGAAACAAGTTATAGGATTGAATGACTGTAACTTTTACTACTTGTGTGCAGCTAAGTGTTAGCATTTCTGTTCCTGGTGAAGATGTATATCATTTTCAGCAACGCTTGTTTGGGAAGGTAATGACCCCATGTTGTTGAGAGACGTTTCGTGGTGGAACTATCATTAGACGCATCATGCATGGTTTAATATATTAATTGAAGCTGGAACTTATGTTGTAAACTTGGGAACTTAAATTCATGTTTACTCTTTTCTTTCTTTGATATATGGTAGTGCACTATCAAAATATATTAGCTCAAGCATGACTAATGGGTATTATCCTTAATCATTTGCTAGTTTAGTCTTCTGTAGTATTGAAGGCTCACATAATCTTTGGATCATCTATTTCAGATCAGAAAATGATCTTTTTATTTGGCCGTTTGTGAACAGATAATACCAGATAAGTGCAGATATAGTGTTTTATCCACCAAAGTTGAAATTCGCCTTGCAAAAGCTGAAAGCACACATTGGGCAGGTCTTGAATTCAGAAAGGAGAGTTCTGTTCCACAAAGGGTTGTTGCCTCAGGTAGGTACCTTTCATTTACATTGTCTTGAATTTTTACTGTAGATCATAATTTGTTTCAAGGATCTTTACTCATATTTATGCTTATCGATGCTGTTATTGTGCTGTTATTCAATCTTGTTACTGAGTTTCGTTCTTGTCTCCGGATTTGTAGTTCCTGGATGTCAAAGGCCAACTTACCCATCCTCAAAACCAAAAATAGTCGACTGGGATAAGTTTGGAGCCGAAGTGAAAATGGAGGTCTGCACTTAACATTTTCAATTAATATTTTGATCTGGGGACTCTCTTCATATTTGAGTGCTTTTTTTTTTTTTTTTGGTTTCTTGTTTTATTTTTTGTTTTTTGTTCTTTTCCCTTACTCTGTTCTGATTCCAGGAGAAAGAGGAGAAACTGGATGGCGATGCAGCTTTGAACAAATTCTTCAGGGATATATATCAGGATGCTGATGAGGACACAAGAAGAGCCATGAGCAAATCTTTTGTAAGACTCATTGGTCTTTATTCGTAGTTCGTTAATATCTATCTAGCGATTTAAAATGATACTCAAATGTGTCCTATAATAATAAAAACTTTGATATTGGTTTTTATTCCTTTAATCACTTTTTTAAGTTTTTAACAGTGTCCTTTTCATCTTGATATACAGGTGGAGTCTAATGGAACGGTGCTTTCGACAAACTGGAAGGAAGTCGGTTCGAAGAAGGTGGAGGGAAGTCCTCCTGATGGCATGGAGTTGAAGAAATGGGAATACTAGATTTTTCTGTATTTGGCTGTACTTTAGTTTTATTCGATTTTGCCTGAGGAGCGTTGCTTAGTATTTTTGTTCTTCAGAAACTAGTGACCCTTGTGCTTGAGTGACCTTTTCTTTTCCTTTTTCTTTTTTCAATTGGAATATGTGTTTCGTCGCCTTCAGTTGTCTAATTATCTAAGTTGCTCAAAACTGTACCATATTAACTTTAGCATAAAAATTTCTTATGCTGTACACGAAACATTGGTATTATTATTGTTTTTCCAAGTTAAAAGATGATCCACTGCGATGCTGTTTAAGCTACCCTGACTTAAAAAAGTGCCTATTGATTAGTCCTATGAATTAAACCACCAAATGGTAACTAAAATAAGAAGAAAAATATTGAAGTAGATCTATTAGGGTGTGAATCATGTTGGTATTTCGTTTTCCTAAAGTCGATAAAACTAAGTTCATTTTTCTTTTTTTCCCCCCCTCTTTTTGGGGTAAACGAGTGTGAAATGATCGACAATTCAGTCAGAATTTTGAAGAATGTTTGTTCTTTCAATCAAAGGAAGAAAGAGATAAAGAACAAATAAATAGAGGTAATGAACCAAGACCATGTACAGTTTTGAGCACAGGCAGGCTAAACCCAGGAATACGTTTCTACTTTCTATAATTTTGAGTCTTTTTTGCTTGAGGCAAATCAATGGCTTTCCTGATTTGCTAAGAGTTCTGAGTCTCGTTCATTTCACCGATTTGAGTTTAGAATTCGAATTTTGTTACCGTAGAAAGCTCTCAGAAACAGTCACATCTAATTTTTTTACTACAGTAAAAAGCTCTCACATAAAATCACATCTAAACTCGAATTAAAAACTCGAATCAGCGAACCAAATAAGCCCTTGGTGTATCTGATTTTATTAATCTGTGAATCAGTGATAGAAACATTAATAACCTACTATAGCATAAAACAAAAATATAAATCTGGGGTAAAAATTGAAATAAACAAACATGTTAGTCAAAAGAAAAAAGAAGGATTAATCTCATTGGTACTTCATGAACTTTGAAATTATCCTCACTTTACCCCTTAAACTTTAAAAATTATCACTTTTACCCTTAAATTTCGAATTTATCTCATTTAAACTCGTTTGTAAGAATTTTTATTAAAATCAAATGCAAAAAAAGAGGGGTTTAAGTGTAACTATGTGATTTTTTTTTCTATTTGTTTTCAACTTAAATTCAGACATAAATATCACATGACTGTATTACTCTCTTTTATTATATGTTTTAATAAAAATTACAATAAAAAGAGTTAAGTGAGAATAATTTAAAGTTTAAAGAATAAAGTGAGAGCTTTTAAAGTGTGAGGTTCAAGCTGAAAATGACTATAAAATTCAAAAGTATTAGTAATAATAATCCAAAAAAAATTATAGAAACTTTTAGAGAGGACTCTTAATTGGATCATTTATGCAGATATCTCTTTTGCTCTCCATTATCATACGAGAACTAAGTGGATGTTCAGTTCACAGATTTAAAATCACGATTCAGAATCATTCTCAATTTATGTATTTTTTTATGAGAGAAAACACTGCATCGAGCCGCGAACCATGATACAAATTCTCGTACCAAACACACTTTCACAAACTATACGACGTCGTATGCCATTTGTCCTCCGCGTATCATCTAGATGGAGGATTCTTGCCTCCTTAGTCCCTTTCCTCTAGCAGCAAAATCTCTGCTCTCTCTCTCTCTTTAAGCCAGCCTTCGAGATCCAGATTCTAATCACGAAACGCAACATCGTACAACTCAATTGGAGGCATTATTTACCAATTTTTCGGAAATTATTTGGAAGGAATCGAAATCGGTGATCGCAATTAGGGAAGAATGCAATTCTTCGGCGGTTCAGAGATCAGCCCGTCGCCGCCGGTGCCGACGGCGTCTGGGAACAACGCGCACATGATGTACGTGTTTAACAGGAACGGCGTGTGCCTACTTTACAGAGAATGGAATCGTCCTCTTCGAACCCTCAATCCCCAGCAAGACCACAAGCTCATGTTCGGCTTGCTCTTCTCCCTCAAGTCCTTGACCGCCAAGATGGACCCCACCACGTACCCTCTTCTTCTTCTTCGCGATCTCAATTTCTTTGATGCAATTTCGTCTCTCTTTTTATTTTTTTTATTGATGTTATTGGGATTAAATTTTCTATTTTTTTGGTGGTTTCAGTGCGGATAGAGGGAATCTAGGGGTTCCTCAATTGCCAGGTCAAGGTTGCTCCTTTCACAGCTTCCGTACTAATACCTACAAGCTCACTTTCATGGAAACTCCTTCTGGTTTGAAGGTTGCATTTTCTTATTTCTGCCTGTCAATTTCTGGCCGTGCGATCTGATCTGATTTGTTGGGTCAAACTCAAAGTAAAAAACTTATCTTTTATCGAAAAATAAATGTTCAATTCTCATTATGAGCAGTTTGCAATGGTAATATTGCTGTCTTAGAGCCTTTCATGTATATGATAGTATTGGCACTTCGGTCCTCTGTTTCTTTTAGTGTAGAAAATTGAGCGAAATTGTTGTCCTCTATGGAAATGGGTGCCTTGGAAAGAAGTTTCTAGTGAAATAATCCTCTTGCTTTAGTTTATAGAGGCTTGCCACATATGTTTGAATCTCTTTGTTTATATTCTACTGCATAATTGATGATACATTATGTGCTATTATCATGTGCAGATTATATTGGTTACTCATCCTAGGACTGGTGACCTAAGGGAATCCTTGAACCACATTTACAACTTGTACGTTGATTATGTTGTCAAAAACCCCCTTTATTCTCCTGGGACTCCAATTAGGTAACTAACTTGTTAATTCTTTTTATAGATTTGATTTGACCATAGTGAATGACTATCTATGTTGACGATTTTTGTCCACTGCATCATTACCAGCCACCCCATTGGTAACTAACGTGTTTGGATTTTGTTACCAAAATAGACTCCTTGTACCATTTTCTTTGAGGTTTCAAAGAGTTGCCAGTATTTTCGATTTGTTTCTCCATTGTAATTTGTATCACACAAATGTGCTGCTCAATCAACTATTCAAAAGGGGGGCAGCAAAGACCATTGGGTTTCTCACTTTTTTGTATTTGTAAGGAGTATGATATTTTCAATTTTTTTTTTTAAAAAAAAAAAAAAGAGAGAAAGAAAGCTTATGTTTTTGCTTGTAGGACATTGGCACACCTATCCATGAATAGGTCTGCTCAATATTAGGTATCTAGTATGCTTGTTAGATTTTTGACTCCTGTCTTGTTACTTGGGTTAGATATAACCATTTCAGACGATCTTTATTTGGGAGAAGGCAGTCTTTTGGTTATTAGTCATTCTCACGAAAAAAACTCATGTAGCCTCTTTGATTTTATAATAGTAGTAATTATTATCATTGTTGTTTTTAGGTGTGAGCTTTTTAACACATTTCTGGACCAATATTTAAGGAGCATTGCTTAGAAGCCCAAAGGTAAAGACTTCACCTTGAATTATCAAATATATATATATATATATACATACACACACAAATAGATATATTTCTTGAAGGTATTCGAAGAGCCCTTGTGTCAAGTAGGGATTGGAGTAGTGCTTAGCTAATAAGAAGATAGACCAATTGCCTTTTACAACGAGAAATTGAATGAGGTTCAACATCGTATTCAAATTTTATGCCATTATCCAGGCCTTGCAGCAGTGGAGACACTTTTTGATTTTGAAGGGGATATTTTTTCCTTCTCTTCCAATTTATCTGTGTCCAAAAGATCTGCCATCTTGTCTTCAACTATTCAGTTTGCTTCTGGTTTATTCAAAAAATGTCTTAACGTGTTGACTTCTTTCTGGCAGCACTCTCTCTCATCATGGTTGCAATCTTTAGTTGGGCAATGAGCTGTCAAATACCTTATTCCAAGCCGGTGTTATGAATCCATTTTTTACAGGGGGTGAAGTTTGCCTATAAATTCTGCCTCAGATATCGCAAAATATTAGGCTGTTGGGAGAAAAGAACAAGAAAGTAGATTCCATGTATTTTCTTTTAGTAGCTGAGCATCCTGTTGGTTGCACTTGTATTTGTGAAATCACTACTATCTACTAAACTTCTCTTTTTGTTTCTTTGAAAAAAGTTATTCATTCAAACGCTACAGTGAAAGTCACAGGACGACACATTCTAATAAATGGCCCAACGGCAAGAAGAATGCGCAACTTAGAGAAAATTAAAAATGTGCTACCTTTCAGTGAGAGGTGAGTGAAAGGTCACCTCTTTTAGTTTTGTGTTCTTATTAAAATTATAGTCCTTTCAAGTAAGGGAGAAAGTTATTTCCGATTTGAGTTTTCAATTCGAGTTGAAATGTAATTTTTTGTGAGAGTTTTTATTATAGCAAATTGGAATTTAAAACTCGAGTCAGAGAATTGAATGATAATCAGCGTGTTTGGAACTAATTTTGTTTTTGTTTTTCAAGACAAAAAAATGAGATTAAGGGGGAAAATGTGTTTGGAGGAAAAAAGGTAAGAAAACCGAAAATAATTTCATTTTTTAGTTTAGTGTAAAATTTAAAAAATAAAAACGATTTGAGTCGTTTTTCATTTCTGTGGGTAGATGCCTTTTTTCTGGGCAGATAGGTGAAAATTATATAACTAAATGGAGTTTAAGTTTTTTCTTAAATTGAAAATAATTTCTTAATAAAATTACTAAACGTATTTTTAAAAATGATAACATTTTCATTTTCAGTTTTATATAAAAAAATAAAATTATTTTGAAACCATTTCAAACGCACTCAATGGTTTTCAAAATAGGAAATCCCAGAGTGCATGCCCTGGGACCTATTCGATTTCCCAAAGGACCCAAATGAGACGAATTTTTATAAGAATCTAAAGCAGACACAGGCAAAGGCGTCAGGTAAAAAAGGACATGAATTCTATAAACAAGAACATCCGAGATAAGCTATCGAAAACGAGATCAACATAAAAACGACAATTACTTGGAAAAAGACAATAGGCAATAGCAGAGAAACAACGGAAAATTAAAACGACATGAGACAACACTTGAAAACGACAACACTACATGAACTTATCTCCTGGAAAATCGAGAATACACAAAAGCGGAATTACTGAGGGTTACGACTGCGTCGGTGCGGCTACGTCAATACGTTGATTGATATATATTTATTTGTATTCTTAAGCTGGCTGTAATACCGCCTTAGATATCGCAAAATTTTATGGCAACTTTGTATGCAATTTTTAATAACTTTATGTTTTTTGAATTGACAGGTGATAGGATTCAATGGAGTCGGTAGGCTATATCTACAACTATATCCTTTTGAAAATTTTAAAAAGATATTAGAATATAACAACTGTTGACGATAAAAATTCGTCAATAGATTAATAATAAGATTGTGGTGGTTTGTGGGCAGATTAAACGTGATTATAACGTGACTAAAAAGAATTAAGATCAACACCATAAATTATATAGTGGTTCACCTTTGGAATTCAAAGGCTACGTCCACATTCAGAGGGCTTCACTAAATTTTGAGGAAAATATTACAAACTAGTGAGAGAGAGAGAGTCCAGAAGAAAATATTACAAAACGAGAGAGAGAGTCCAGCCCCCATTTTTATATATCATATTATCCTAATTGTCAAACTTCTAATCATATTTTGAGATTGTTTTACCAACTCTCAGAACACTGACTTCTGATGACTGAGATTTTGGCTAGTTTGCCTGATTTTTCCCACCGGCTTCACCACTAACGTTGCTTGCATTAAATACCTATCAAATCTCTGAGCAGCTGTCACATCTTGACTGACGTGGTTAGGGTCGGCGCTTGGCTGTTCTTTGAAACGGTCTACGTCTTCAAATGATGATACGGTCGACTTTGTATTGCGATATACTCCTCAATACGATCGCCCATAGGGCTTTATTTTCAGATTGTGATCATTGTCTACGGTCGGCGTCTATTGAATAGTGGGATTCTTTGTCCACAGCTGTCGCAGTCATTAGTCATCCAACTATGCCGCGTGGTGATCATCTAGTGGACCACGTGGATCGTGGAATTTTTTCCTATAACAACAACATATGAAAAAATATATTCTCCTAAAATCGAGAAGATTCTATAGCACAATTAAGAAAACAAAAATGCAGAATTATTGAGGCTACATCTGTGAGTTAATTGATAATTTGATATGTATTGACCGGAATTTCTCCAAACCCTGCTTTGAGTACATGGATTGAGGAAAAAAAAAGAGAGATAATTGAAAGAAAAAAAAAAGAATTTTTTTTTTTTTAATACAAGACAGTATTTAATCCTCAACCGTTTACCTTAATACTTTAAAGCCACTAAATTAAGAGATCTTAGACGGAAAGACTCATTTGACTGTGTTTGACAGGGATTTTTAAAGAGATGCCATCTCCTAAAATGTACCGAATGAAAATCAAACAGTACATAACTCTACAAACACAAATCTAACTCTCATTCGATATCTTATTACCAACAAATTATTGTTTCGTACTTCATCAATAAAAGAAAAAATTACTCGAATTAAAAAAGAATAGACTCTAGCCGTCTCTGGTCCACGCCCACCCATGTTGACACTCTAACTAGAAAGTGAGATTTATAAGAAAAGTCAATAAGTAAATTTAGAAGACGTTTGGTTAGAGAATTTAAATTATGTGATTCGAATTATTTTTGATTTACATGTACTTTTTATGAGAAAAAATACTGTAACAAACAACGAATTATGATTCGAATCAGAAAACGAATCCTTTTATTAAACATCTTCTAAGTGAAATGCTGTGCACGTCTATTTTTTTTTTCTTTAAAAATGAATTTCGACCTCACAAACGTGAAAACCACCGAATCAAAAATCGTTGATACTAGTCTTCCGCACGTTGATTGTACACAAATAATTCTATAATAATAATCAATCCTGTGGCAGCTTAATAAAATAAACAAATAAATAAGACATCATTGAATTTAAATTTAAAATTTAAATTTTATTACGATAAAAAATTTTAAAAAATAATTATATTTAATTTTTTTATTATAATAAAAAATTTTAATATTAAATTTTATCTTAACTTAAATTAAAAATAATAAATAAAGTAAACAAGCCATAAATATGCACCGAACTAATTAATTCGTTGGTCACCGTTGCAAAGAATCTTAAATCGACTTCACAACTTTTCAACGACTTCTCTCATATATATATATATATATATATTTTTATTTTATTTTATTTTATTTTATTTTTTTTATTTTTTTGAAAAGCGACTTCTCTCATTTTTGGATGTATATATGTATATAGCGAGTTTATTCTGTGCCTTGAACTCAGCCACAAAAACCTAAACATGGAGTCAATAGTTCTTTACCCAACACCAGCCATCGGTCACCTTATCGCCATGGTTGAGCTAGGAAAGCTCATTCTCACTTCCAAACCTTCGCTCTCCATCCACATCCTCATGACTACAGCGCCTTATGACGCCGGCGACACCGCTCCCTACATCGCCGCCGTCTCCGCCACCAATCCTTCCATCACCTTCCACCACCTCCCGCCCGTCTCCCTCCCTCCCGAGCTTTTGACCGCCTCGGCTCACATCGAAAACCGAATCATGGAAGTCCTCCATCTCAACAAACCCAACGTATCTCAAGCCCTAGTTTCCATCTCTCAAACACACACCATCCACGCCTTCCTCGTGGACTTCTTCTGCGGAAGCACTCTCACTGTCTCCGCCGATCTCAACATCCCCTCTTACGTCTTCTTCACTTCCGCCGCCGCCGCCTTAGCTATTTTCCTTTACTTACCAACTCTTCACAAAACCATATTCCCAAAGAGCTTAAAAGATCTTAACAACGCTCTTCACAGCGTCCCCGGAGTGCCGCCGATTCCTTCGCTGGACATGGCGAAACAGTACCTCGACCGTCACGATAAGACTTACGAATACTTTCTCGAATCTTCTATCCATGTCTCGAGATCGACCGGAATTATTGTAAACACGTTTGAATCGCTTGAATCTAGAGCAGTCAAAGCCATAACTGAAGGATTATGCGTTCCCGACCATTCTACTCCTCCGATATACTGCGTTGGACCGCTTATTATGACTAGACAGAAAACAGATTTACATTCAGAGTGCTTCAAATGGCTGGACTCGCAACCAAGGCAAAGCGTGGTTTTTCTCTGTTTCGGAAGCTTAGGCGTGTTCTCCAAAGAGCAACTGAAGGAAATAGCGGTGGGGTTGGAGAGGAGCGGCCAGAGGTTCTTGTGGGTGGTGCGAAATCGGCCGTCGGAATCGCCGGAATCGAGTTTGGATTCGTTACTTCCAAAAGGGTTCTTGGATCGGACGAGAGATAGGGGACTGGTGGTGAAGAACTGGGCCCCACAGGTGGAGGTGCTGAGTCACGACTCGGTGGGAGGGTTCTTGACCCACTGCGGGTGGAACTCGGTGCTGGAATCGGTCTGCGCCGGTGTGCCGATGGTGGCTTGGCCGCTCTACGCGGAGCAGAGGTCGAACAGGGTGGTGTTGGTCGAGGAAATCAAGATCGCTTTGCCGATGAACGAGTATGATAAGGACGGGTTTGTGAGCGCCGACGAAGTTGAGAGGCGAGTCATTGAGTTGATGACGGGCTCCGAAAGCGGCGACTCGATAAGGAAGCGTGTGTTGGAAATGAAGGATGAAGCTAGAGCTGCTCTAAGCGACGGTGGGCCGTCCCGAGTTACATTGACCAAACTCACTGAGTTTTGGAAGCGTTGGTGAGTTGAGATTTATTATAGAACTCGGGGGTTATAGTAGGTTCATGATTCATCGTGATTCATGAGGTTGGCATTTCAAGATCGTATTGCAGAGGTTAATTAACTTTTGTCTATTTGTGTGTTCAATAAATTCGTGCGTTGTTGCTTTCTTTTCAGCAAATTTGTAATGCACTAATTTCCCTTGTCACTGGAATAAAATAAAGATAAGAGTGAAGTTTAGCCAGAATCAAGACGGAGACTTGTTTTTTTATTTTTATTTTATATTTTATTTATTAATTTTTTTTTTTGGCAAATCAGGAGACTTTGATTTATTCCTCTATCTATCACTATCGGGTAAGTGCTTTTTTTTTTTTTTTTTTTGGTTAAAAAG